CTGGCCAATGTGGATGGGTGGATTGGTTGGTTCCTCGTCCACCAATCACTGTGGCTATAAAGGCTGTCGGTCAAATCTGCCGGACCAGACCAAAGTAGCAATGCAATGAATGGCTGGAGCCTAGAGCGGACGACGGAGGATTCATTCCCGAACCGCCGACTATCGCCAGTTTGCACACAGACAGTTATCATATCAGCCGCGATATCAACACAACGGTCAACACACAACCAGTATAGTTGTTACTGTCAATCAGATGCTGTTGGGTTCAAAATACTGCTGCTCATTGCGTCTCCTTCGGCGTGATGCTCCCTATCTAGTAATCAATGCCGACTGTAAAGGCAGACAGTGACTGACTGGCATAGCCAACAGTGGCGACGCTACTCTGCTGCAACGTTACAGCATCAGCAGTGAAGTTACTCGCTTAGGAGGGCGCTCAGGCACTTGTACGCGCTGTGACTGAGGCGTGACCTCATGCCAAGCACGGTCAAACTTTGTTTCCCCATAGACTGTCAGTCAATACATGTGGACCTTCAGTCTGTTGCATTGCTTTGTCCAGGAATTATTGTATTGAAAGAGGTGTGATCGGAGAATAATTAAGATCAAGAAATCAAAGACTGCATTGAATGAATGGTTGTCTGGATCAAAGAATTTTCCGGTGCCCGCCACTAGTTCATTTTCGGGTTCGCTCAGGGCACGCCGCCAGGAACCCTTCCGGACCCCCCCTTCCAAGAACCTAGGTATCCGGTCGGGAATGCCTTCAACTCTCCCAGAGATGAGCCCAGCTGATCGTGGAGTCTCTGGCCCTGTTGCACCAGTCTCAAAACGTATACAGATGGAGTCACCCACCATCTCGCTACCTAATGTCTCCTGGACCTCCTGAATTGATATGTCCATCACCTCGGGTGGCCGATAATTATGTAGTACACATTTCTTTGTGTGCCTCCGTAGTCAAATACCGATCAACAGGCTCCCCGAAACGAGGCGGCACTAGCCATGGGGGTGGTGATAGATCCTGTTCAATCGCCGGGTCTAGATGGCGGCAACCCGGTGTGTACCTGGTGGTCACTCCCAGTACCTCTACTTCCGACCCCATGATCATGTCGCTGCATTGCTTTCTTGACTAGATAGTCCCCAGATTTACACCTCACGATATCATCTGCATATCCTCGGAGATATCATCTCAAGCAGATCAATTTTGAACCTGCGTCTTTGGGTAGGTGAGCAGCGCGTAAACTCCGATGATTCCCTCAAGACAGGACAGACAGTACCTGCAAGAACCAGCGTTAGCCCACCAGCTGACAGTGGCGGTCCCTCTCTGCTCCTGGACCAACTGCTCATTTCATATAAGCTCAAGGACCCCAAATGCAGGCATAGTTCATGACGCAACGACGGATCCGCCAACCACAGGAAGCGATTCACGCTCGCGTATGGCCCAAATGTTGGGTCGGTTTGGAATCCTGCAGCGAGGTGTGGAAATTGGACGGGGCCATCCGCGACGCGGTGGGGAACATTCCCAGCGGTATGCCCAGTGATGGTAGAAACAGAAGGGACAAGTAGGACACTTCATTCCCAAGGTAGTTATTCACCGTTGACCCGTCTATCACATCAAAGTATACGGTATAGTTAGTAGCACAATGTACTAGAAACATGATATATCACTAGCAAACGGCCGTTCTGAAACCATCTGCTACCCGCAACCCCGAGCGTTCTTTTAGTCCGAGCGGAGCGTGTAATTTCCAGCGACGCCCCCGTCATTCCCCAGATCGCCCAATCACCACCACGAATGCCACTTAATGGCCAAACTGCCTATACCCTGCAATCTCCACCCGATCCAGCATCTCACCGGTTTGTGCTCGAATCGGATCGCCGCCTGGTGTTTCACCTAAAATGTCCGATGGGGGGCGCCATCATTTCCAGCGCCAAAAACCTGTCATCTCATCTTTCATTCATTGTTCCTCATTCATTCCGTTCAGTATATAACCCTTCAGGGCCCCATCCAGCTGGTCTTGGATGGTTTGGTGTTGACTCCCAGCTTCTGGAAAGCCTGTCGCCTCGTCTTTCGTTTCCCAACTTTTCGTCATTCCTTTATTGATTCTCAAGACTTTACCGCCATGTTCGGATCTACTTCTCGCCTCATCCTGGGGATGCTCAGCTGTGTGGCCCTCCTGCCCAGTCAGGCTTTGGCAGCACACCAGCACGTTGGCCACCGTCACCATCATCCCATCAATCCCACCCAGCAACCCCAGCCCAGCACCCTCATCACTATCGCTCAGGGCACCGCTCCTACTGAAGCCCCTTCCGCATGCTACTGGGCCCCATCTGCAGTATCCTCAGTAATTGCCTCTGCATCCGCCTCTGCCGCCGCGGTAGTCGAGAGCAACATCACCGCAAAGGTCATCATCCCATTCTACGTCTATCCCGAAGCTGGCGCCTGGACCCCCATGGAAGAACTGTACGTTGTAATATCATGACTCTGCAATCCCCACTTACTAACCTCCCCAGCGTCGCGGCTTTCCCCAACGTCCACTTCACCATCATCATCAATCCCGACAGCGGTCCCGGCTCCAGCAGTCTCCCTGACAGCAACTTCCTGACCGCCGTTCCCAGGCTCACCAGCTACAGCAATGTACTCGCCATCGGCTACGTCCCGACAGAAAAGGGCACCCGCTCCATTTCAGATGTCGAGAGCGACATCAAGACCTATGCCGGCTGGCCCTCCGCCTCCGGTAACTCCTCCTTCGCCGTGCACGGCATCTTCCTCGATGAAGCCCCCAACGCCTATAGCGAGGAGCTGGTCTCATACTACCAGCAACTCGCCAATCTCATCAAGGAGAGTTCCGGCCTGGGACCGGAGAACTTTGTATGTCCCCCTGCACCTACCCCATTCGTACACCACCTTGCATGCGCAGTAACTGATAAATGATATGTATAGGTCGTGACCAACCCCGGCACAGTCCCTGACTCGGCCTACCTCACCATTCCCGACTCCACCGTGGTCTTCGAGTCGCCCTACGACTCGTTCCTAGACGCCGTGTCGGAAGACTCATTCTCTGCCATCAGGGGCGGCAATCACAGTGCCCTGGCTACAATGGTCTACTCCGTTCCGGATACCGTGCATCTCCCGACGCTGATTAGCCAGGTCGGGAACATCTCCGACCAGATCTTCCTGGGAAATACGAGTTCGTATACCGTGTATAACTCGTACATGAACCAGGTCATTCCGTTGTTGTTGCCTGTTTCTTCTTGATGTGGATGGTGGCAGGCTGGCTGTCGCAGGGCGATGGGTTAGATGATGGTGTGTTTCAATTCTTGTCTCTCGTTTATTTCACCATTTATGTATATAGATGTGTATGTTGTGGAACAATATGCATTTTCTTTTCTCCCAGGGGTGTTTGTTATATGTTGGTAGGCTACAGATTGTGCGGTGGTTGAAGATACAGTCAGTGTAGGTAGGCCGCGGCGCCACCCGTGGGAATTCCTCAGCTGGGCTGAGACAGTTTCATCCCTACAGTAGGATAGGGATGAAACATGACAACAACCAGCAAAGGAAAGGCATTTAATACATATTTGTTTCATTCCCATAAATTCATGTACATATAATATATACATAGTATAGTAACTGACCCATCGCCTAACTCCCACCATGAACTTAGTATGTAACCTAGTACTGAACAGTCAGCCCTCACTCCAACCCAAACGATATGTCAAAGGGCGCAACATACAACAGATGTAGGCAGTAACAAATCAGATATTATCACCAACAGCGGCATCTACATCCGCACCAACACTGGCAGCTGCATCTGCAGCGCCCGAGACCACCGCGCCGACATCAATGTCGATGGGATTTGCGGTGGCGAAGACGGCCAGGAGGGAGAGGGCGGAGAGGAGGATGAACTTCATTTTGGTATCTGTTTGGAGCTTTCAGTAAATGTATCCCTGCTTGACAGTAGTGTATAGAGAAAGACATACGGTAGTGGTAGGTAGAGTGGTATAGGGTGGTTTGGATAAGTCTTGTAGGTATAAGAGGTAGAGAGTTAGTAGATGAGAATGATGGTAGATAGGTCTGAAGACCATGAAGGTCAATTTATATCTTTCATTTCCATCACATAATCTGATATTCTCTACAATAATCAACAGTGAGAAGGAAGTCTAGAACCACGTCATTGATGGATGCTCTACATACATGGTTATGATCCAGTCGATCGGAGATAACCATTTTTGGGGAGTTGCGGGGACCCATTTTTGGGTTTCTCGGGTGGCCGGGAGGCGACCGTTGAGATAGCCGTTGATCGATCTGGCGGTTGCTTCAGATATATTGAAACGGGGTGTTTTACTACTTACTAGTGGTAGTCTAATATTTTATCTAGTATTCTGAATCTTTTATCTATGTGTGATATTATTCATATTAGATGGTGTTAAGGATATAATTGACTAAGAATAGCTTACCTGCTTGTTCGTTACCGGGTGCTGCATATGCTAGGTCTAAAGTCCTGTCCCTTAAAGGCTGCAGTATTATATTCTACACTTAGACTTAATTCGGATATGGATGGCATATCGGCTTCCTTTTCCACCTAAATTCAATATAGCCATCGGATATGCCACGGCTACATCTACGTCCCTATATCTGAACCACGGTTCCGTCCGGGTCAGGGGAACTTGACTACGTTCTAGGCGTTTACGTGATCGACTACATTTTCGACCTGCCATTAAACCAAGGTACTGGCTAATCGTATTTTTATGACAGATGCTATGGTTGGTTGAGAGTACTCTAATCTAGACGCATTCTATCAATGGATGGTTCAGGACACGTACGACGCTGGAGGAACCAGACTTCATCTCAGTTTTGATAGCAGAATACCGATCGGAAATCTCACAGTTCAATTCAATTCAACTCGCTCAAATCAAGGCATGTCGCTCAAATAACGTTCTCAGTCTGCAGATCTGCTGATCATATCCTGGCTAGCTTGCGGAGCACACTTCCGACCGGCTTGGCTGGCGTTAATGTTCATGGAGACAATGCAATCATGGCTAACGGTATATCCCATCATCCTGGACATAGGTCTACTGGCTTACATCGGGGATACTGGCTTCATGTTCCAACACAGCCGGGTGCTTCACACCTCCAACTTGCAACTTTGCCCAATCTCTCTCCACGCCCTCCTCGATGTCCGGGTACGGGCCTAGCGGTGTGATCGCCTTAGGGTTGATATGCCAGTGGCTCTTCGTATACTATTGCAGTTAGCACATATTCTCTGGGCGTATTTAAATGACTTACATTCTCCTTGATATGCTTGAAGTCCGTGGTGTCCCTCGCAGCCTTCACATCCCAATACATCCCCTTGAGCCAGTTATGCAGCACCGGATAATCATGACGGATGGTCCCCAAATTACACTTGAAGTGCTCCACATACACCACGTCAAATCGAATTAACGTCGCATACAGCATCACATCCAATTCCGTCATCTCCTTCCCTAACACGAACGGGCCCCCATTCTGCGCGATAATGCGCTCAAGCTTGTTCAGTGCCCCGAATACCCGAACCACATTACGGTCATATTCCTCCTGCGTGTCTGTGAATCCGGCCTTGTACACCCCCGAGTTCACGTCCGATTGCATCCACGGACTGATGGCATCGATCTTTGCTTGCAGGTGGCTAGGGTAGAGGTCGATTTCGGCCAGCGATGGCGAGATCTGGGAGTTGAATGCTTTGGGGAGCCAGCGGAGCATTTGTAGACTTTCCTAGATTCAGTACATCCGTCAGTCATTGTAATGAATTTCCATCTCACGCAAAGATAGGTAGCATACATTACAAACCGCCGTCCCCGTCTTCGTATCCCATAATAAGGGTACCGAATACCGTCCTTTATATTCGGGATCCGCCCGAAAGTATACCTTGTGCAAGTAATCCTCCCCGTATAGATGATCCACCGTTGATCCGGGGTACTCGTCGTCCGATTCAGGGAACTTCCATCCCGGCCAGCCCTTGAGATCTCCCTTCGGGTACGCTCGCACAACACTGGTTTTGATGATGTCGGTGAGGCCCTTGAGGTGTCGGACAAAGTTGACGCGGTGTGCAAATGGGCAGAAGTGTCCGATGTACAGGTGGTAGCGGTCGGGTTCGGCGGGGAAGTCGGTGCTCGGGATGATGCCGTGCCAACTATCGGCGGTACCCGCTTGATGGATGGTCATTGTGGTGGCGATGTTGATATTAGGAAGTATTGATGGTACTTTGGAGATTCAGTGGGAGAAGAAGAGTGAAGAGGAGAGTATCAGGAATGCTGCAGGGACAGTTGGCAATGCCATCATCTGAGGGCTCAACTATGCGGGGTCCGGAGCAATTCCGCACTGGCGTCATGCTGGATTCGTCATCATTCTTGAAGTAACGAACTAACTAGTTAGTTATGCAACTATGCAACTATGCAGCCATGTAACTAATGCTGTGCCAAGGCTGGCCACGTGGGGAGGATATTTTATCCCGGATACGTAGTTACTTGTAACTATATCGACTATCCCCTGAGTACTAGCCTTTTAAAGACCTGGTTCATGCTTGGCTTGAATTGTGTCGTCATCTGGGCTGATAGTACTATGCTTGGCAAGATCTGCAACATCTGGGTCCCGATATTTATTATCATTTTACTCGGTTGAACAATACCCTAAACCACACTCAACAATTTGCTTGGATATTACATTTGCAAAATTGGACTTTCCAATTCTTGACGAGCACCATTGAGGGGCCATTGATCTTTCGAAAACCAACAGGTGAATCCATGTAAGCTCTCCTGACTGCAACTCTTGACTACGGCCAACTAACTTATATTTAGTGCAGACAGTTATCAGGGATAATATGCTTTGTTAGCGTTCACATACCAAAAGCACAGCTGCTACGCTCCAGCTAGTTTGCTGCTGACCGCTTGAACCTCAACACCCGGCTTACCCGGACACAATCAGTGGGGCGCTATCAAGCTCCATTAATCTCACAGCTTAGACTATCTCCGAGGGCAGTGCAAGCTTCACGCACCAACTTTCTCCAACAAGGATCGATCGATCGCCGTAAAGCATGCCCGATATGGCCCCGCTAAGCTGCTGTCAGACTAGGCCACCCGCTAAGCCACTCGACTGCGACCGCAACGCGGCATAAGATGAACTTTTTAGCAGGATTGTGCTGAAGAGAATGATCCAATTCCCACTCAGTCAAGTTGGGGGCGAAACCTAGTTCCCCCTAAATCAACAAAACAGAGGAAATAAAACCAGGTAGAAAACCGACCCGGTTGACAATTCCTCACACAGAATCTCGACCAGTTCACTGAACCTTTATCATCATGAACCGGTACCTGTCTATCCCCCTGTGCTTGGCGAGCGCTGTTCCTGCGCTAGCGGGTCTGGCGGCCCGCGACCCCATTGGCACCATCTGCACCAAGAACAACATCATCACCACCGACGACTTCATCCTCTACAACAATCTCTGGGGTGAGGACTACGCTACCTCTGGCTCTGAGTGTACCTACCTCGACTATGACAGCGGCAACTCCATCTCGTGGCAGACGTCATGGACCTGGGCCGGCGGTGATGACTACGTCAAGAGCTATCCCAATGCCGTCTTGAACGTCGGTGCCAAGCAGCTGAGCACGATCACTACGATTCCTTCTACCTGGAAGTGGAGGTGAGCCAATATCCCCTACCACCAATTAAGCTACTGTCTAATGATGATTTCAGCTACACCGGCGACGACCTCGTCGCTGACGTCTCCTACGATGCCTTCCTCGCCACCACGGACTCCACAACGGCCACCCACGAGTACGAAATCATGATCTGGCTTGCCGCCTACGGAGGCATCGAGCCCATTGGCAACTCGGATGGTCCTATCGCCAGTCCCACCATCGGTGGCTACACCTGGGATCTCTACGAGGGACCCAACGACTGGACCGTGTATAGTTTCGTGGCCCGCGAGACTATCACGGACTTCTCTGCGGATCTTATGGAGTTCTTCACTTATCTCGTTGATAATGAGGGTGTCTCGTCGAGCTTGTATCTGCAGACTTTGGGTGCGGGTACGGAGCCGAAGACGGGCTCTGATGCTTGGTTCACCGTTGCGCCGTACACCATTAGCATCAACACTTAGTGGTTGAGATATTTTGACAGTTACGGGCGGGTTGTTTGGCCGGGGAGATATGGTGGATCCTTTGGAGATGCATATTGAACAAATCGAAGATCCGTTCATAAGCAAATTGAAATTAATATCGTCGACGATGAATTTGAAAATTCTTAATGGAATAGTAGCAAGTTATACTGCTTGTAATGGTAGAAGTCAAGATGGAGTCTGTCGCTGTGGATTCCCTGTGGTCTGATGGGACTGCTATCCTATTGCACTGGCAATGTAAATTTGCCGCGTAAGAGATCAAAAGAAAATTAAATGAAATTTTGGAAGGGACATGCATCATATCATAAGCGGGTGATTGAGAAAAAAAAATCAAAAAGAAATGTTGAGCTCCGATAGGGGGAATCGAACCCCCGGCTGCCGTGTGAGAGACGGCGATGTTAGCCACTACACCATATCGGATTACTTGTTATTTTCGGCTATAATTTACAATTATAAAGCAAATACATACTGTCTATCACGTGCCTCCCGATCGCACTGTTCTAAACAACTTCTTCACCTTCTGTCCATAGTGGTGTATATTACTTGCCCACCCCATTGTCATCAGATTCAAACTGAGTTTCATATGTGCTTGCTTAAGATGTTTTTATAATCTATGTTACACCGAGAGAATAACCACGATACCGGTTCTAGCCCACGACTGTCCAATAGCAGTCCTGTTTCTAGTTAGGCTCTGAACATATATACATTGGCAGTTACGGATTCAATTGCCTTGCGCAAACTTCATCGAACAAAATTGGTCGCGACACCATTTTGCAAGCGATTCAAGGGAGTTATTCAACATCGCACAAAATGGACCGTTTCTGCAGGCCGGAGCAGCAACATATGATCGGAAACTTGAAGAATTCCTGAAGGTACCTTATTCGAATCATGGCTGGTATTTACTCACACCTGCCCAGCCCGTCGCATGACTGGCAGGGCTCAAGACTGCGTGTGTAGCCTATTTGCAACCTCTCGCAGGTATGCCTGCTGCAGAGCATATGAGAAGTCAGCCAAAATTGGTTTACGAAGGGGTTGGAAATAGAGGCCATAACTTGAAGTTTAACACTCAGCAACCTTCCGCACCTAGACAGCTCTGTTACACAGATGTCAGCCCATCTCTCAGCAACGAGCGGCCCATGCCTCTAACCCGGACGGGTTCGGATTTGTCGGAGATGGACACTGGGATAAGACCAATGAGATATATTCTTCGTTTCCGTTGAGGGAATTAGAGCGCACACCGAACTAGTGAACCAGGCAGATACCGGATTTATGTCAAGAGATGGGTCTTCTTAACTAAACGCATCGGTACTCATGCATTCGACACTGGCCAGCAACCAAAAAACCCTGGGAATGAATGTTGAATGCAAGTAAACCATGCACTGTAAGTTTAACGACCAGAGGATGTACGACTAAGTTATCAGACTCTCACAAGTCGATTTGATTGCAAAAGAATTTGCGTGTTCATCGACCTGACACTGTCAGTCACACCCGACAAGTCATCGCTATGTTGAACCGTTCGAGTAAAAGCATTCGGTATACTACACCGGCATCCCGACCGCCACCCTGACACGGAGGTAGGTTAAATGGTGTCGTATAGCATTGAGACAGCAAGCGCATCCATCCTTGACATCGGGATGGCTGGCTGAGCTGCCCGTATGCCGCTGACTCAGCGGTATCAAGAGTTGACAGACAATGCTGCACCTCCATTCAGCCCATCCATGGCGTGCTGCGAAGAAGAGTCTCGGATAAGGGCGTGGTAAAGTTGTAGCTGCTGCCTTCCGAGGCATGCTGCAGTGGCAGGGGCCATCTGGTGACGGAAATGGCAACACCGCTCATATATCATTGCTATTTGTGTTCACTCAATGGAGCACAGGCATTCGCCTGTTTCCTGGCCTTCCAAATAGGATCACAGGCCTGAGGATCTAGCTGTTACGAGAAGCAACGACCCACTCATGCACTTGGAATCACCGCAGTCTGATTTGAAATCCATGTCGTCGTTGGCCTACGTCACCTTATCACTACCCCTCTCTTTGGCTCAGTCACTTCTGAGAAATTGGCGGCTGTTATTTGAGTGGACCCTACAACCCCAAAAAAGGATGTGAAGCCATAGGAATGCGGTAATAAATGGGAACCGTATATTGGGCTACCAATCGAACCCCAGGCGAAAGCCAAGAAGAAGCTACCGCTTCTGCCACGGAATAAGACAGGGCGTGTCAAGTGTAACCTCCCTTGTCAGAGTTATCGAATGTCCTGGCCAATCTGCTGATGGCAAGACTCGGTACGATGGAGTATAATAGTGTAGCCTTATTGACCTTTGTCATGCACATTCTACAAGCTGGAACATTTTCGCTCTTTTGGTGCACACATTGTTGGTGGCTCGAAAGGTGGTAGAATTTCCGGGACAGGGACATCGAAGTTTGACGGAAAAGCGCAATCTAGCTGAAACACTCATGAAGCACAAGAAAGTATGACACTCATCTTACTGACATCGTCCTACTATGCACTAACGGCGATATCCCAGAACCGCGGTGAAGATGCCATGCCAGACTTGGCGTGTACCAGATGCCGAGAGCGCAAGATACGCTGCGGCCGGGAACGGCCTCATTGTCGTAACTGTGAGAGAGAGGGCGGTGTGATTTGCCTGTATCGGATTCCTGCCAAACGCGTAAATCACCTAAAGTTATTGTCAGTGAATCTCTTTGGCTAGCAAGGACATCGATCGCTAATCATGCTATAGGTGCGGTAGCATTGAACGACTGCAGGATCGATTGACGATAATCGAGTCTCACCTTAGTCGACTCCAAGGTCTTGGCCCCCGGACTCCGGGGTTCGAAGAGGACCACGAATCATCACAACCAAGAACCTTGCTAGAGGGTGTATCTGCAACAAGTAGTTGCGTTGATATTGACGATGAAGAGGAGCACAAGGAGGAGGTTTCCGGGATTCTTGCCCCTAAACAGTCAGATTATTACTTTGGACGCTCATGCGTTGCTGTTCTGTGCAAAAACCTCAAGGTAAGGGTTCAGTCGGTACCCCACGCAACAGGGCCTATATGGCGACCGCTCTGCGAAATGTTGCAGCATATATGCGATATCACAAAAGTATCCGAACCTATCCCGTCATACAGTGACCGGCTCGTCGTTCCACTGCTGCCTAGGCAGCAAGCTACCGCTGCCATAGATCGGTTCCTCCAGAACCTAGACTGCCAGACCGATGTTTTCGTACCGGACAATCTAAGGGCCAACCTCCAGCGCCTGCACTCGCAGCATCAGCCGCAGCCCGATGATGCCGCGTGGGGCATATGCTTCCAGACCATTGCCCTGCTGGCCCGGGTCACATTCCAAGCTACGCAGGGATTGTTTGAAAACTTTGTGCATTCCTTTGTACCCAGCAGGGCGGTAGTGGCTTGCCCCGGTCTGCTAAATACGCCTAGACTCATAAACGTGCAGGCTTTGCTTCTCCTCGTATGGTAGTAGACTTAGAATCTTCTGGTGTGCAGAACTGACATTGAATATGTAGAGTGTTGCGGCACAAGCTTTCGACTATTCTGGATCGGCAGAGTTGATATTCGCCCATGCGTGCACACTGGCGCGAATCTTAGGTTTGAATTGCAGCCAAGTTTCAGACCACGGCGACATTGAACAGGTCGAACGAGCCAAGGTACTTCGAGCACTGTACGTCCGTGATAGAAGTTTGTATACGCTTCGTGGATCAGTGCTTTGGATGCCCTGTGACGAATATAACATCGCTACTCAGTTGCGTGCAACTAGTAATGAGTTAGGGAAGCACTCAACCCGGTTCCATCTAGCCCTGGTGCAGGAAGACATACACCGACTGGCTCAAGTCGGCTCGAATTCCGCGAACGCACATGACAGCCAAGAACTGCTGATGCGCATTGAAAAGCAGCTTGATGAGTATGGTCGAACATTGTATTTATTCCACCGCCAAAACGCTCCGTCAGAATGCTGTGGATCCCATGCTATAGATACGATGGAGTTCTTGGCAACGCGAATCATGGCGTATCAACATGGACAGGAATCATATCACACGCGACAAATTCAGCAAGATGCGCGGTTGAGCTGCTTGCTTTTGCTGATAGCACACGGGGACCAGGATCCGGCGATTTCATACTGCTTCAACGCTTTGTTAACGGGAGAAAAAACCACACCAAATAGCAACCATCAGTCTCATTGTTTCCCTAAAGTGTCATTCACGAGTGTGTTAGACGCGTTCTCCGTTCCCGCCTTTTTCATTCTATTACAAGATCTTCTCATGTCGCGCCCGCGTGAAACTCCAGCTGGCATGATATCCGATTTGGATTTGCTGCGGCGGGTGTCAGCTTGCTATACCGATCATGCTAGTCGAATGCCGGCAAATACCTACCACCAAAAGTTAGCCTGGGTATTTACACAATTGATGTCTTTGGTTCGCGTTGTTGTGGACGCACGTTTGGGCTGTCATTTCATTGACTCACCTCGGGCCCCTGCTCAGAATGACCTCCCCAGTCCACCATACTGGCCAGTGGCTCATCAAGCAACCGCACCTCCAAATTGGGAGAGTTGGCTCAGTGGAGCATCATCGCTGGCACTATCTACTATTGGCCCTGCAACACCGCTCGGAACATGGAACGCTAGCACGCAGGCCTTTGATGGTGGACAGTTGATACCGTGGCCGACAGCAAGCGGGATGTCGCCTGTGGCACCGACAAATTGACATCATGAGCCCGTATGTAGTGCTGAGGATAGGTGTGTACTGTAAGGATGTCTGTAGATTGTACTTGCCGCTTGTCCTCTGAGCGGAGGTAATTCCATACTTTTGTCTGAGGCTGGTGGGCGATGACGGTTTGCAGTGACAGCTCAGAATAGCTGGCGTGGCCAGGAATTGTCTAGGAATAAATAGATTTGGCTAGACTGCAATCATACCTCTGATTTCCTTATGGAGAATAACCGTCTCGAATGATAAATTGGGTGTCAATACGTAGCACAGCAGGATGTCTTACAAAAGCCGACTAAGTGGTAATCAGTAATTCGTGCGCGACAAACCTGTCGTCAGAACTGAACGCTAACCAGATGAGTTCACACTTGACATTATTTGACGATACCACTACATAGTCTCCCTTTTTTTCCTCTCAACCACACATCCTCCGTAACAGGGAATCTTGTGATGTCTGTTACTGTGTCTCCGGGGTCCGGGGTACACCTCGGTTCCCGAAATCCGGCGAACCCTGGCTGTGTTTTCCATAAGTTATGAGGAGGTAATGCATCGCTGGCAAAGCCACTCATTGCCCCATCGTTAAGGATGTTTATAAAGAGGGACACACCTCCACTAGTAGAATGGCATAGAAGACTGAAAGCCTCAAAACCTTACCGAATGTCACAGCGTATATATTATTGCTTACTTCCCATTTCTCCCGGCATTAGCATAGTTTAAGAGCATTAGGGGGCTCCTCTGCCCTCTATACACAGCCATAAGGTTCAACTCACTTGGCTGTGTCTTGATTCGAGATCCGAGCAGAATACGCACACTATTTAGAACTCCATCTACAGAATTCACCAACATCATGTCTCAACCTCACCCCTTCTCCGGCCACTGGCAACCCAATCCTCACCTCCAGCACCTCTACTACGGCCCCGACTGCGTCTCCCAACACCTCCTCGATACCCTCCCAAAATCTACATCCAAAGCCATCATCATCACCGGCACGACGCTAGCTACCCGAACTCCACTCGTCCAGCGCCTCAAAACCCTCTTATCCATCCACCACGCAGCCACCATCTCATCCATAGCCCAACACACTCCCTATCACGTCATAGACGATGCCATCAACATTATATTAACCCTCCACGCTGAAGACCCCACAATCGACACCCTCATATCCCTAGGCGGTGGGTCTCCCATAGACGCCGCTAAAATCCTTGCCCTCAAATTCCACCAAGCTACCAATTCAAACCTAACCCACCTCGCCATCCCCACGACCCTCAGCGCCGCTGAAACCACCCCCGCCGGAAGCACCACACAGCCTGATGGAACTAAAACCGGCATTCGAGATGCCAAAATGGCAGTACATGCTATTTTCTACGACCCGGTGTATACGAAATACACCCCGATGAATCTCTGGCTCAGCACGGGTATCAGAGCCCTAGATCATGCCGTCGAGGCGATGTACCATCCCACTGCCAGTGAAGTGCCCTGGAAGATCCTTGCCGTATACGCAGTGAGGGAATTGTTCGAGTGCTTGCCCAAGGCGAAGCAAGATGGTGATATGAGCGACGACGCCATAACTGTTAGGCTAATGCTAGCTTCGTTTGCTAGCTCGGGACTCAAAGGTAAGGATCTGGGCGCTGGGATGGGGTTATCGCATTCGCTGGGATATGCGCTGGGGAGTCCATATGGGATTCCGCATGGGATTACGAGTTGTGTTACGCTTGGGAAAGTGGTCGGGTTTATGGTGGGTGAGGGGAAGGGGAGGGAGATTGCGAGGTTGGTGGAGGAGGTAGGGGGTGTGAGGACAGGTGAGGATGAGGTCGACGCAAGGGTTGTCGGGGAGAGGATTGTGGCGTTGGTCGAGACTCTGGGGTTAGGGGTTAGGTCCTTGGAGGATTTGGGTGTGGGTAGGGATGAGGTTCCGGTTATTGCGAGGAGAGCTCTGAGGGGAGATGATAAGGGGGAGTTTTATGACAGGGTTGAGGGGTTGGTTGGGTCTTTCTTTTGATGTAGGGATTCAAGGGGGAGTTGAGTGGTTCGTATTTCCGCTACGAGGGTTCGGGGAGATGGTGTCACTTGGCAGAAATAATTGAACGATTGAGTTTTGCCTTTATCGTAATATTGCTATTGTGTTCATGGCAGCTATGGTGTAGCTGTATGCTGACAGATGTAATCTGCTCGGATTCCGGACGCCGCATCGGAATGTACTCGCTCGTATACACAGTAGGATCATTTATAACCACAGCCACCCCTCCTTGGCATAGACGGGGATGAAATGCTTTCAGAAAGCTAATTTGGCAGCCGGAAAAATGGCTTCAACTATTCGAGAACTAGCTACACAGATCCTTGCCCTCTGCACCCAACTTGAACAAACCTGCAATGAAGCTGATATCCCCCCTCCGTCACTCTCCGCAGACACCGAAAGTACATTCTGGTCTGATTCTGAGATAACAGCTACGCGAAATACAGCTCTTGGTCTCCTGGACGAGCTAACGTTGCTCATACAAGGCCCACAAGAATTTCTACATGAGTTCGTCGCCTCCCACTGGGACCACGGGGCGCTATATGCGTTTCTCCACTCACAGACCCTGGAGCATATAGCCCGCTCGGGGCGGGCATCTATTGAAGACCTCGAATCTCAATCTGGTATCCCAGCAGACAAACTAGTTCGGATCCTTGGGCTACTTCGGTGTCGGCGCATCGTTGATGAGCCCGAAAAGGGTGTTTATGCGCTTACTGCGGTATCGCAAGAACTGGTCGAAGACAGCGATTCAAGGGCGTGTTTGGAGTTCCAGTACGTTTTACCTGCGAGCTAGGGAGTATAAACGCTTATGGCGTAGATTATTCGAGACACGCATTGCGAGTGCGCATTTAGCGGATGCTCTGGCGAGGAAGCCGAATGGGTATGCCGATGGTGAGTCGGCGTTCAAGGAGGGGTGAATATACACCATCATATTGTGTGATAGATTGGTGCTAAGGGAATAGATTTGGCATGGAGATGTACGACTGGCACGCTTGCCATCCTGACAAGGGAGAGCGTTTTCGTCGTGCTATGAGGGGAGTCTCGCGCGGTGAGTGCCTTTGTACTTATGTCCGTGCATAGAGATTTACTAAACACATCGGATATGCTAGCCCTTGATCCTGCGGACTCCCTAATCGAGGGCTATATCCAACAACACACGCCCATCACCAAGAACAAGATCGCCGAGATCGGAGGCCGCTATGGCTTCGCCTCTGTCTCCCTCGTACAGAAACACCCAGAACTCTCATTCGAAGTCCGCTCCGACTCTCAAGACTTCCTCGACCGCGGCAGCGCACAAGTCCCATCTTCTTTTCGGGAACGTATATATTTCACACCTTGCCAGTCGGTATTCGATTCACCCCCTGCATGCGATACACATACGGTATGGCTCTACGTCATTAGGAATTTGTTGTGGAACTGGACAGATACAGATGTTGTGAGATTGATGAGAACCATCAAACAAAGAGTGGGTGCATCTACCCGTATTCTGGTTACGGATGGGGTGTCTCCCGTGTCAGGGCAGTTCCCACTACATGAAGAGATTGCGTATCGAAGGAGGGACGTTACAACTATGAGTATGCATAACGTAAAGCAGAGGACACAGGAGGAGTGGGTAGGGTTGTTTAAACAGGCTGCCCCGGGTGTACGGGTGGAGACAACGTTTGCGAGAAGTTCGCATGTCTATAAGGGTATGTGGGAGATCAGCTTTGTCGATGAATGATGATGGAGATAGCATTTAGAAGTGGTATTGAATCTACATTGGGTGTTAACGTGGGGACGGAATTGTGTAGATGAGAAGAATGAATACGTACGTCGAAAATACCGTTCATGGACTCGCTTGGCACTTTCCAGTTCTTAACTTTGCTGTCAAGCATGGCACAGTTTATGGCAGATCCTCAAGGTTTAACCCGGAAAAGCCACTCCAAGGCCACCACATGCTCAATCGCAGCATCAGCCCATACTTATGCCGATAACCACCGATAGCCAAGCACAAGTATCAATCTGATCAGTTGATTTTCAAAGCAATGTTTCACAACCAGCCCGAAAGCAAGCCATGTCAGCTCCCGAAACATCATGAAGGAAAACTACTGCCAAGCCAATGTACTCTTCATCGGGTTCCGACCTATTGAACTGGAGCAACTATATAGCTCCTACTATCAATGCTACTTCCCTTAGAGATATCCTAGCTAGCTTCCCTGTAACAACCAAGATCATGGACCGCGTCGACCTATCCTACACAAAGAACCTATCCATCCATCATTACCAGCCGGAAAAGACGCCATGGCGTCGACTGGGACAATGTACTACCGCTTTCCTGCATACTCCCTTACCTGTGCTCAAATATCCCACTAACGAGAAAAGACCTCTATCGCGTTATGGAAGACGGGACGCACACTCAATATCGTCTCGCCGCAATCGAAAGTCTCCTTCCGCCTCACAGCGAGGGTCCCGTGTTCCATTTTCATGAGATGCATGATGAGGGGTTTTACGTTACGGTGATTATTTCGCTATCATAATATTCCCAGTTCTTAGAAGTGAAGGTCTTCTGATAATGAACGGCGTGTAGAAAGGAACCGTCCGTTTCCACAGCCCCGGCCGTGCCGACGTTGATGCCAAAGCAGGTGACCTGATCATCGTCCCTATCCGTCTGCCTCATCGATTCAGTAACCCTTTCGACGAAGAAGCTGTCTTTATGAACACAGCTACACCTGGATTCTTCGTGAGGTACTTCGAGTACCTTGAGTACTTGATTGGCGAGGGGACGGTGCTTACGCCGGAAATCAACAAGGCCGCGTTGAGAAGGTTTGCGACTGTGCCGGTAAGCAAGGAGGAGGTAGAAATGTTGGAGATGGAGGGGATGAGGGATGGGAATGCAGTTGTGGCTGAGACTGCGGCTGAGGGGGAGAAGTTCGTGGATTTCCTGGCCGAGGAGAAAAAGGGTGAATAGCTTTAGTACTGATGGGTTTGCGTAAAAAAACCATGGGTGGCCTAAGCGTACGCATATATTGCTATCAAGGGGTGGAATGCAGTCCGTTGAGCAGACAGAGCATGTAAAGTGGCTTTTTAAGTTATTGAGGATTAGCGTTGGAATGCCACTAACGACAATGTGTGGTTGGCGTGAGCTATGAGGCAAGGGATTAAAGGTGGCATTAGCAGCTGCAGAGAGAAGTACTGGACCAAACGTAATGATCTAATCTCATCTTCACCTCCCGGATAATATATGCGATATGCATTCTGTCTCACACATTATCGTTGGTCACCTCTCGGTGCCAATCTCACTAACAACGGCGGTTTCACCCAGAACCCAAAGACCTTCTGTCCATCAGCCCAAGCCTTTCCTGTCTCAAACAGCTCCATATCAAATAGAAACAGCAGTTTCGCCGCTATTAGTCGCATTTCGGCCCACGCTAGGTTCTTACCAAGGCAGTTCCTGGGCCCAAAGGAGAAAGGTTGGCAGCTTTTCGGGCGATCAATGGAAAAAGGCCCCTTCTCCTGACATTCTGGCAGCCACCGCTCAGGTAGGAAGTCCTGTGGACGGTAGTAGTTGCGTGGGTCATGGTAGCATGCAAAGTGATTGACTCCCACCGTCACTCCAGCGGGTACAAATTTACCGTCAATAACTGCGCCGTTGGCTGGGACAACTCTGGGTAGAGTCACAGCTACAGGAGGGTAGATACGCAGAGTCTCCTGCAGTACGGCGTTTAGATATGGCAGCTGGGTGACAGAAGAGATATCTATCTGCTCGTACTTCTCGAATGCGCCACGGATCTCAGCGATGAGTCGGTCGTACACACTCACATGCGATAGAATGTAGTATGTGAACGCGCTCAATGCTGTCGCCGACGACTCTGACCCAGCTATGCTGAAGGAAAAAGCATTGACATTCATCTCTGCCCGTGACATCCCTTTTTCCGTCTCCATCGCAGCGAGGATGTAGTGCAAAAAGTCCTTGCGGTCGGTGTTTCGAGCTACGCGACAATTGACGGTTTCAATAACTCGCTGCATGTTCTGTGCCCGTGCTCCCGCAATGGACTTGGGCATGAATAGCTGCCGAAAAGAGAGTAGATTGTAGTAGGCGAACATTTGGATGAAAGTCAACTCTTTGGAGATTGCACGGATAGATCTCACGAAGGGATCGTATTCCGCGGTGTTCAGGCAATGGAACCTTTCGCCGAAGGAAAGGTCACGAATGAGATCATATGCTATTGATTTGAGAATTGTTGAAATAAGTTCAGACAGCTGATAACATACCAATGAAGGTGAACCAGTCTACCATGTTCTGCGGGCTATCGTTTGCTCGAGCGGCCAGTTGTCTCATGAGCTGGTCTACATATCGCTGGATGATGACTTCTTGCTCACGTAAAGCTTTTTCGGAAAAAGCATGCGACAGAAGCCGTCGCTGTCTCGTATGTGTCTGTCTATCTGCCGTCAGGATATCTGTTCTCTGTCAGTTTCGACTGAGGCAGTCCTTGAAACGGAAGTATACTTTGTACGCCAGTTGGCGTTCGCAGCGAAAAGACGGGATCTTTGCCCATCTCATCCGATCGCGGTCCGTAAATAGCTCTCCATGCTTCCTCTGAGCTATAAGATAGTTCATTCGGAGCTACTCGCACGATGTGGCCGTATCGTAGATGCAATTCGAGCAGCTTCTGGTTTAGCCGGCCTTGAGCCTGGTACCAGCACCATGGTAGCCGCGTGGCAGCCCATAGCCTGGGGCCTGGATACCGCCTCAGTGGATGCAGAAACGCATTGTAGCATACGTAGAGAACGATGCATGCGAGCAGCTGTTGACATCAGTACAAGCCGCCTCGAGCTCGAAGACTTACCGATGTAAGGGCAGCTGCACCAAGTCCAAACATAGGACCTAAACTAACAACCTGAGTCAATGCCATTCCTCTGAAAGTTTGGAAACATGGTGTCAGTGTATTGGGAGCTGGAAAGACATGTGTATCGGCGAGATTCTGAAACAGCCCAATTGAGTAACTCGTGGAGTTCGTCTCCTCCTCTTGCAGCAAAAGCGAGACCCGAAGTGGATGTAGTCAGCTGTGCAATCTGACCCCGAGACTCTGTGAGACCTGATAGCTAGTCAGCATTGCAATTTTAACCACCATCAGGCCATGGAATGCGAGTGGGGCGTTTATCAGAGTATGAGTTTAGGCGCAAGGGGGTGACGCCTCCAAAGATCTAGACTGTTACCATATCGGACATAAGCAAAACGGGAAAATACAGGAGTGGCTATTTCATGGATTCCACTAGCTAATCAGGCCAAGTTAAAGTCAATTGGCCTTTTGTTCTTTTACTGTAACATTCGTCTTCGAAACAAGTCCTAAGAAAATGTGATTTGTTAGACTGACGAATAGGACGTCCATTTCAGAGAAATTTTATCTTTCCCCGAATTTGAAGCCAGTATATCTAGAAAACTGGAAAAGAAAACACTTGTCATCGGTCATCCCGTAAGAAGGGAAAATGCCGCGTAAGTATGCAGTTTGTCGGCTTGCTGAAGTATGGTCGGAAATGGCCTCCGTCGTACAGTGACCCTGACTGGTGTATCGCCAGCAAGTTCCCGTATACAGCAAATGTTGTTACTTTCGATGCACAAGCAGAAAGCATGGATTATGGCATGTGGCTGAATCAGGTGATAATACCCAAACCTAGATGAGATACAATAATAAACCCTTGCCTGATGGTACTCCTATACCACCCCCGCTCCTTCCCCTCTGCCACATTCATCACTGAACCATCGAACCACTGCACACAGTCTCACATCCAACATGACCGTTCCCAGCTCAGAGGACACACACGTTCTTATCATCGGCGCAGGTATCACAGGCCTTATCCTCGCACAATCTCTCAAGAAGGTAGACTTGACCCCCACGCCGCCAGAATTTCGCCAAATACCCCTCCCTGGGTAACAGTAACCGTCTAACGTGCCGCAGGCCGGCATCCGCTACTCCATCTTCGAAAAGGAAGTGTCTATGAACTATCGCAGCAATGAATGGACGATGGCTATTCACTGGTCTCTCGACCGTCTACGCGACCTCCTCCCCGCCGACCGTTTTGCGCACATGGAATCCGTCTCGTGCAACCCAGACGTTGCCCTGAACGCGGGCGGAAACTATCCCATCATCCACGGAGAAACTGGTCACTTGATTGCCGGTGTGCCGTATGCCAAAGGACTGCGGGTTCCGCGCAGTAAGATGCGGGATCTGTGTAGCAAGGGGATTGACGTCCAGTATGGAAAGAATCTGATCGATGTGGCGTTCACTGAAAGCCATAAAGGAGTAGTTGCATTGTTTGATGATGGTTCCATGGTTGCTGGAACTATCCTCATCGGTGCGGATGGGCCTCGCTCAAAGGTCCGTGAGTTTGCCATGGGTTCGGCCGAAAAGGCGGCTGTTAGCCGCTTTCCTATTTTTCATACTAACATGACCGTTACCTACAACGATGCTGAGAAAGCTAGATATGTGAGGCAGCGCTTTCCGACGAGTTATCTGGCTTTGAGTGATAGGTCGTATCATGCATTTCAATCTAGTAGGTATCCATATCTTGTTTACGTCGCTTTGGGTGGGTTACTGATTGTGTAGTCTCGAGCATGCCTGATGGTCCCGATCACCCTGAATCTTGGATATTTCATTTGGCTATGGCCTGGTTCATGGACCACGGTCAACCTGCAACTTACCGCGAAAGACTAGACATGATCCGCGAGAAAGCCCAGAGTCTCGCTGAGCCAGCTCGGTCCTCGTTTACTTGGATCCCGGATGATACGCAGGTCCATAAAGCTGATATCAGCTACTGGGTTACTCAGCCTTGGGATAATCGACAGGGAAGATTGACGTTGGTTGGGGATGCGGCGCATCCGATGCCGCCGTGTAAGTTAACCCTACAGTAATTGAACATAGTGATGTACTAATGATGGTATGATTCGGATGATTAGACAGAGGACAGGGTCTTAATCACTGCATATGTGATACATCTCATCTTTTGGCTGGCATTCAGAAGGTAGTGGCTGGGACTGCTACTCTGCAGGAGGCAATCACTGCGTACGAAGCAGAGATGATTCCCCGCGGTCACGAAGAAGTCAAGTGCTCAGTAGAAAACGGGTATATGCTGCATGATTGGGAACAAGTCCGTGAAAGTCCTGTTTTCCGACAAGGGTTCCGGCCTATGAGTGGGCACGATCGTGGGTCTGTCGATGGACATGAGAAGATGCAACCAAAGGATATTGTAGCTAATTGAGTGTGGTAAGGGATGCACATGCATCTGTTGTGCGAGCTATGAGATATCAGTACTACGATTGATAATGATGCTGTTCACGTCGTGTGGCAAAATCCTGGCTTGATATTGGAGCACTGTTGGATCTAGTACGACACAATGGCGCAGTCGTTACATATCCATATCATGCAATTGCGGAGTACCACGCTGAGCTGACATTGCTAAGCACACTACAAATTTAGCAGAAATACAGTAGACTTTCTGAATCAAACCCCATTACAGGTGTGAGCATCCGAAGTAAACGTTAGTCGGCTGCCTCCATGTACATGACCTGCTTAGGACCAAAACCCAGTCGCCCAGAACTTGTTCCCACTGCTATCTAACCGACTTGGTTACTTGAGCAAGCAATATATGATAGCCATAGTATGACGCCTCCGATGCTAGCGTTTCGACAACACAAAGGATGGAAATATATCAGCAAAGCCACGTGCGCCATTCCCAGATATGGGAACCTGGGCACTCACAGGGCATGTGTCGTGATACCCGAGCTAGCCCGTAAGGCTGACAACCTTCTATGGGAAGACATCCCTCAGTCCGGTGCTGTTAAGGCTAATTGACAGGGATTATTCTGGTCAATATCAGTGGCGGCAAGAAGTCTGACAGATTTGTACGAGATCCGATCATCTGACGGAGATTCCGACATCATGGCATCTGTATTCCCCGAACTGTGTATTCCGCATCGGAGGCACTAAGCGTTCCGGACACCGAAACTTAACTTCTCCAGCTCCACATGTCATGTATTGTGCTCCGCGGAAGCATGTGGAATTGCCTCGGAGACCGAATGTTTTCTTCCGACTCTTGGTGGAATGCCCTTAAGTTGGAGATGCTCACGTTTGCCGAAATGTAACCCCAACGCTTTGTGCCATTGCTCCTACCGCATTTCAGCGGTACTGTGTTTAACGATGGCCTCTGAACGCCTCTACGCTCTGACAATTTACGGCTACCGCAAGCCAGGTATGCCTGAGGGTGAGTATCATCGTTATCTAAGTGATCATCATGCTGTTTTGGTGAGAAACCATCTCGTGAAGATGGGTATTGTCAGATACACTCTGGTAGGTCGGCTAAGAAACTATGAGTGGGAGAATGCTGACGCTGCTAGACGCACAACACGTCCGAGACAAAAGAGATGATGAAGCGTATCTTTGGAAACCTTCCAGAGGGCCATACCTCTGATTGCGACTGCTTGGCCCAGATTATCTTTCGTGATGTGGAGGATTATGTCCGCGCTCGGAATGACCCCTACTACAAGGAAGTCATTTTTCCCGACCATGAGAATTTTGCCGACTCAAACAGGACTCAGTTTGTGACTGGCTGGGTGGAATGCCATCTTGTTGATGGGAAGATAGCATAGAGGCATCTCATTCAGGATGATAGTGGCGAATGGTCAACCAAAGTGCTACAGCCAATATTTGAAATCCGGCAGCTGGAGTCCTCTGATGTAGACTGTGGTTGGCTGTAGACTAGATGGAATATCAAGTATTGATTCTTTCATTATCTTCTTGAACTCCTACCACCTATGTTGATAGTAACCGTAGTTTGTCCAAGAAAGCATGATATTGTGATCTTTGTGCTTGTCCCTACATCATATGTTGCATGTGGCGACTGATCAAATGAGTTGACAATGCAGCTATGGAACATGCTTATTGCATGATTCTCCATCTGTACAACACTTGTACATCAACAGTATCCAACCTCTCTAATTGTCGCTATGGCATAACGGGAATTTGCGCTAGCTTCGCTTTTCTCAGAACTCTCCGAGAATCGACCCGTATCTGCGGCGTCAGCGACGCCCCTCAAGCAAAGGTTGTGGGCCAAGACCGAGCTGAAAGTACATGTTCGGACATCATTCGATCGTTAGTTGGCATTAACTGCCAGGGTATAGACTTTTCTATGTCACTATTATCTAGCGTGTCAGCAGTACTCGGGAATAAACCCCTGTCGCCTCGTGTTATGCTAGGATACCAACTCCCTAATTCCAAATGAACAGCCTTTCGAACATTATGAATACATTGCTCCTCCAGATGTCTGTCAGCTCATGGAAGGGAGAATCTCACACCTTCTGATAGAAATAAACTTTCAATCTTATGAACATGGTCGTTAGGACAATGCTGGAAGAATCGAGCACAAAAACCGACACTTCAGCCATGAGCAAGATGGAGACAGTCGCCGAAGTATTCATTTTCGGTGACCAAACGGTGGCATTCGAGTCGACGCTACACTCGTTGCTGCACCTGAAGGACAATGCAGTTCTCACCGACTTCTTTGATCGCGTTGGGTACCAGTTGCGGCGATATGTCGGGAATCTCCTCTTGCATCAGCAAGAATGGTTCCCTTACTTTACTACCCTCATTGACCTGCTGGCCCAGCACGAAAACTGCCATGCGGCTCCAGCATTAAAGTTGCCCCTGCTATGTGCGACGGAGCTTGGCCAATTTATTAGGTGAGCCGTTAAGGCCTGTTTCCGCATGCTCATCAATGCATGATTCTGAACTTTATGTAGGCACTATGGACAAGCAGGAAGAACATACCCTGCACCAGAAAGTACCTTCCTAATTGGTGCTTGCACGGGGGCATTTGCTGCTGCAGCAGTTGCAACCTCCCAAACCTTAGCAGAGCTTGTCCCTGCTGCGGTCGAAGCCGTC